ATTCTAAGAACTGCTTCTACTCTCTTAAAATCTTGAAGGATTTCAGAAAACTTCAATAGGATAGTTTTAATTAAGCCCAGAGTCCAAAAGGAAATGGGATGATAATATAACTGTGGGAAGTGTCACTTATTGTTGAATTTGTGATGGTTACTTCTAGAAGCTTTATCATTTTTTATTAATTTTGATTGCACAATACTCTTCCTAGTGTTCTTCAATGAAAGTTGTGTCTGAATGCTGAACCTCAACTTTTGGGGAAAGGCATATCCTTGATAAGGTTTTGGACTGCTTCAAGTTATATTAAAGGGCATTTATTCAGCCCTCTTCATCAAAACCGATTTTCTCCTTTACCTCTTCCACTTATTATTATTATTTTTAAATTCTTTATACCTTACTTGAGTAGTTGGATGATACTAATTCTTAGTTTGCGTAGGGAATGCCTGCATTGACTCTCTCAGCTTCTGTTCCCACGCTGGAGCCAGCTGAATGTGTGGGTTCTGTTTGCCCTCCAGCTACTGCAGCTCAGTATGCAATATATTTTTTCTAGGGGTTTATCTGATTGCACTAGGGGCTGGTGGGATCAAACCATGTGTCTCATCTTTCAGAACAGATCAGTTTGATGATACAGATCCCAAGGAAAGGGTGAAGAAGAGTTCTTTCTTTAACTGATATTATTTTTCCATCAACATCAACATTGGTGCTCTGGTTTCAGGCAGTTTTCTGGTATGGATTCAAGAGAATGTTGGTTGGGGCCTAGGCTTAGGCATTCTGGCATTATTTATGGGAATGGCAAGTGCCATTTTTTTCTCAGGCACACCACTCTACAGATTTCAGAGACCTGGGGGAAACCCTGTTACGAGAATGTGCCATGTTTTTGGTGCATCATTTCATATATGGAATCTGAAGGTAGCAACAGACAGTAATCTCTTGTATGAAACAGATGACAAACATTCTGCCATTGAAGGAAGTCAAAAACTTGAACACAGCAAGGAGTTTAAGTAACTTTCTTCTGCTTTTACATATTTTTCATTCTGAATTGTTTATTAAGTTATCATTGCATGAATTATTTTCAATATTCTGTTTCCATGCTAGACAATTAATCATGCAAGACAATCAGTCAAATGATGATAAGGAATACAAATTTAATAGGATGTTGTCTAATTAAAATTTCCGAAGCATTGTTGAAAATAACTGATTGATTTTTTAAGGTGCTATCTTGAAACATCCTCATTTCTTGTTGCCCTGGAAAACACTTGGAATAAGTTGAATCTCCATTACCTTGTGATTTTTTTATGCATGTTTATGTTTCTCTAATATATGTTCTCCTATTGACTCTTCATGCTAAATTCTTCCATAGTTCTCATCCATTTTTCTATTTTGTCAGTGCAGTCTATCTTCTAAAAGTAAACCATGAGTTACCAAAAAAAGATACTTCAGTTATAGTTTCCTGTGATATATTCTTGAAATAGTCAGTTTGTTTTCAAAAGTGTCATATTGCTCATTACTAGTTCACATACTCTGCAGCTTCTTCCCTATAGCTGCCAGTGATGCTATCATTTGTCAAACCATTGGATGTAAATTGATGCATGATTTATTTCTCTGAATCTTTCCTATTCCTACCCCTTTCAAGTGGTTCTCTAGTTGTCATCCTCCTTTGTTTCTCCGAGTTCTGAGCATATTCTAAAAGTAACTTAACTTATTCTAAAAGTAATTTATGATATCTGAGACTGATGGTTTCAATATTGTTTCATCTGATTCCCTTGAAATAATCAGGTACACAGACAATATACTCCTTATGCTTACATGAAAGTTTCAGGATGATGGTGTCTTCAAGTGTTCATTCTGTATTAAACATTTTCTATCGTAGCTTGTTTTGCTAAAATGTAATTTACTGCAGGTGTCTTGATAAAGCTGCTGTACTCTAAGCTGCAGAGCTTAAAGAGTGGGGACTTCTTAGACCAATGGCGGCTTTGCATTGTAATGCAGGTGGGGGAATTGAAAATCTTGATCCGCATGTTCCCTATCTGGGCTGCTGGTATTGTCTTTTCTGCTGCCCTGATGCCTACACTGTTTACAGAACAAGGGATGATGATGGACACATCAATTGGTTCTTTCACAATTCCCCCTGCTTCTCTTTCTACTTCTGATGTTATAAGCATTATTTTTTGGGTCCGCATCCATGATGGGGTCATTGTCCCAATTGCAAGGAAGTTCACTGGCAAAGAGAGGGGCCTCTCAGAGTACGTATGGGAATTGGCTTCTTTATTTCCTCGGGATGTCAGCTGCTGCTCTGGTAGAGATTCGGAGATTGCAGCTTGCTAGAGAGCTTGGCTTAGCAGATAAGGTGTTCCTATACCACTGAGCATCTTTTGGCAAATACCCCAATATTTCTTGTTGGGGGCTGCACAGGTCTTTACATCTATTGGACAGCTTGAGTTCTTCTACAATGAATCACCAGATGCCATACGGAGTCTATGCAGTGCATTGTCACTTCTAACTCTATCCCTAGGGAGTTACATGAACTCTTTTATTCTGACTCTGGTAATTCATTTTACAACAAAGGGAGGGAAGACAGGTTGGATCCCAGATAACCTGAATGAAGGTCATCTTGACTATTTCTTCTGGCTTTTAGCTCGTCTCTGCTTCCTGAACATGCTGGTATTGGTGTATGTTCTATGTGCTCAGAAGTACAAGCAGAAGAACGGTTTTTGAGCATTTTTCAAAACAGTGGTATGACTGTTGTTTGTGGAAATAAATTCAGCAAAATGTACAATAATTCATACTTTTTAATAAATCTGTTTATATTATATTGGATGAAAGAGTGGCTTCTTAATATGGTAAGCATTAATCTCCAGCATACTGTTAGTGTTGGTATATGGTTAGTTGGTGAATGCTAACTATTGGAGATCCAATTCATGCCTGGAAACAATTGCAAAGAAAGCACAAACAGAAGTATGCGTCATAATATGAGCAAATATCATCAATATCATTGCCTTTCCCTTGGCTATAGCCAGAGTGCTTTGCGCCTTGTATCTTTAACCATCTGATATATGGCTTCCTTTTGCTTGAAGATTACCTTGCAGCCAACAATTTGGCAACTTCACTAGCTCCAAAGTTTGATACGGGGAAGGAACAAGGAGTATTGGATTATGGAATGATGGATAATCGAGTGGGTTTGGTTGGTAGGCTAATTGATGGTTTGGACAAGAAACCAGATGAATTGGATTAACAAAAAGTGGGTTTTCAATTGAACATTTTTTTGGGTTAACTAGTAGCATGATTTCTTTCTAAGGCTTGAATTGTTTAATTTCTTTTTTTTTTTTTTTTTATCAGCCAAAAGAAATGATATTCACAAAAGGAGTACAAGGGTTACTCCAACTCTTACATCATTCTAACAAAAGGAAACATGACAGATTCTATCTCAACACAACATACAATCAATCACAAACTATCAATCTGCTATGGCATGGTTCCATAGGATTTGTACACCAAAGATCCTTTGATGTTTCCTTATCAAATTTGACCCTCAACCAATTAAAAGACCTTAGCTTTATTAAGTTCATAATATTATCAAGAGAGTTAGATCCTTCTTTAAAAATCAATTGGTTTCTCCATAACCAAATAGACCATATCACCGTAAACCAAATCACATACCATGCTATCTTAGCTTTGCTCTTTGAGACCATGCCCAAATGTTGTTGTAGATGGTCCTTGCCTCCATTTGTTAGAATAGATTGGACACCCCACCACACACAACAAGATTGCCAAACCTTCCAGCTTGTCTCGCATGTGAAGAACAGGTGATTTATCGATTCCTGATTGTGTCCACACAGTATGCATGAGAAATGAACTTTAACTCCAACAATACCTCTTTTAAGCAAATTATCTCCCATGGGGACTCTATTTTGTATAACTTTCCAGACAAAAGTAGCCACTTTCAATGGTATGTTCTTATTCCATATCATACTACACTATAGGAGATTCAACTCCCTTGAACCCCTGATATTACATTATAGGCTGACTTTGTGGTGTAGGTGCTCGTCGAATGATGTCTCCATCTCCACTAGTCCTGCTTCCCTTGTTTCAAATTTTTGCTTTTCAACAATTCAATGAGTTTTGTAAAGCAGTTACATCACAGTCTAATAGATCCCTACTCCATTTCCACGTCCATACCCACTCTCCTCCTCTCCATTCCCCCATATCTTTTATTAAAGCATCTTTACCCTTCGACAGTCTATACAGTCTACTAAATTTCTCTCTAAATGGTATCTCTCCACACCATTCTTCCTGCCAAAATAATGTCTCATTCCCTTCGCCAATAACCTTTTCTAATCCCTTTTAAAGCCAACCCTCCTTATAAGCTACTGCCCTATCAATCTTCCACAGCTCCTTCCACCAATTTGAACTATTTGCTTTCACTTCCCTGCCCTTGTAGTCTTGTTTCCTATGCACTCCATACTTAGCTTCCATTATCCTATTCCATAAGGCCCTTCTCTCCCTTAATAGTCTCCATTGCCACTTCCCTAACAATGCCAAATTAAACCTACCTAGATCTTTTACACCAAGACCTCCTTCCTTTCTACTTTTGCACATTGTTTCCCAGCTAACCCAAGCAATCTTCCTATTATACTCACCACCCCCCATAAGAATCTCTTTTGAATTAAAGAAAGAATATTCGGTACCTTTTGGGAGCTCTCATGGTTGAAAAGAAATAAATCAGGATACTTGATAGGACAGCATTCAAGAGAATAATTCTACCACCAATGGACAGCGATTCACATTTCCAGCATGACAATTTCCTTCTCAACCAGTTAATAACAGGTGCCCATGTAAAGGTTTTCTTTGGGTTAGCACCTATAGGGATCCCAAGGTATTTAAATGTTGTCAGACCCACCATACAATTCAATTTCTCTGCTTAGTCATTGATATCTTCTTCCTCCACATTAATTCCATAAAGTGCACTCTTAAAATAATTCACCTTGAGTCTTGAGAATAACTCAAAGCATGTTAGCACACATCTTATTGCCCAAATATTTTGTTCTATAGCTTCACAAAAGAATATCGAATCATCTGCACATTGGAGATGTGTGATTTCTAATTGGTTAGACCCCACCGTAATCCCTTTGTATAGATTTTCCTCCTTGGCTTTAAGAACTAACCCATTCAAGGCTTCAACAACAAGTAAAAATAGGAATGGAGCTAACGGATCCCCTTGTCATAATCCTTTCTCCATATGGAACTCCTTAGTAGGACTGCCATTTACTAGTACCGAGACTACTGTAGTAGATAGGCACTCTTTAATCCACCACCTCCATTTTATATAAAAGCCAAATTTTTCCATCATTAGATCTAGAAATTTCAAATTCACGTTATCATATGCTTTTTCGAAGTCAACCTTGAATATTAAGGTCAGTTTCTTTCTTCTTCTAGCCTCATGAATCATCTCATTTGCGATCATGATCTCGTCTACTATTTTTCTTCCTCCAATAAATGCAAATTGGTTTAGGCTTATGATAGATGGCATCACTTTTCGCAATCTATTTGCTAGAATCTTGGAAATTATCTTATACATGCACCCAATAAGAGAGATCGGTCTAAAGTCCCCTAAGTCTTAGGGGTTCTCCTTCTTTGGAATTAGAACAATAAAAAATGCATGGCTTCCCTTCACCAATCTACCATTAGCCTAGAATTCTTTTGCAAAAGCAACGATGTCTTCTTTCAAAGTAGGCCACATTTTTTTGATAAAAGTAAAATTAAATCCATCAGGACCAAGGCTTTGTTCCCATTACAGCTCCACACCACCTCTCAAATTTCTTCTACAATAAACTCTGCAGTCAGTCTTTCATTCTTTTCTACATTCAGTTGCTTAAGGTTCTTTAAATCCATATTGGGTCTGTCCCTTTCGTCTTCCTTGAATTTTTCCTCCAAATAATTTTTAATAAAATTCTTTACCTCAATAACCTCAATAATCCACTCGTTGTTCTTCATAACCCCATCTAATCCATTTTGTTTTCTCCTTCAAGCAATACGGCCATGAAAATACTTGATGTTGGTGTCACCTTCCTGTAACCATTTCTACCTTGATTTCTGAAACATAAGGCTATCTTTCGCTCTGCTCCATTCCTATAATTCTTTAAACTAAGTCTGTCTTTGCTCCACCTCAACTTCTGTTAATGCATATGTCTCTCCTTTTACATCTAGCTTCTTGATTTCATTTTTTGTAGCTTCTTGATTTCATTCTTTGCAGCTTCCATCTTTTTGTCAATGCGGCCATAGACTTCCTTATTCCACTGCTTTAAGTCATTCTTCAACCTTTTTAATTTTTCTCTCACTCTATACCCACCCCAGCCATCAATTCTATACTCGTTCCACTTTCCATGGACAAAATCACTGAACGAGTCATGTTCCATCCAACAATCAAGACTTTTGAATGGTCTAGGTCCCCAATCCTTATAAGAGTGTTTGAGTAAGACTAGGCAGTGATCAAAGAGGTCTTTCATTAATCCTGTTTGCACAACTTCTTGGAAGCTTCTCAGAAATTCTGTTGACACCAAAAATCTATTAAGTTTGCTCATTGCCGTGCCATCAACTTTGTACCATGTGTATCGCCTTCTAGACATATGCAAATCTTCTAGTCCTACTTCACAAATGAATTTATTAAACTCCCTCATTGTAACTTCATCTACACAGCTTCCTTTCTTTTCATCTCTATCCTGAATTGCATTACAATCTCCACCTATACACCAATTTCCCCCATTGTTCTCCTCTATTACATCAAGCAATTCTCTCCACAAGATACGTTTTCCTTGAATTTCACAAGGTGCATATACATTTATAAAATGACAAGGAATTTTATCCTTCCCCCAAAATCCAAACACACCACAAAAACTACTACCCAATAGTTCCTTATTTAATTCAAAAATACTGGGGTTCCATATGCATATTATACCTCCAGATCTTCCTTGAGCTTGCTTAACCACCCATTTACAATTGTCACTGCCCCCATATGGATTTACATATCCACTCTTCACATACTTCAAGTTTAGATTCTTGGATGAAGATCATATCAATTCTTTCTTTTTTTTTATTAACTCCCTTAAACCCCTTTTTTTATTGCTTCAACCCAGAACCCTTATATTAATTGAGGTAATCTTCATGGAGGATTCACTGATTTCCTTTCCTTAGCTGCCTCGACCAATTTTTGATTGGCTAAAGCTGCCCTATCTCTTTTCTCCATTTCCCCTAATCTTCGAATAATCTCCTCTGCAATATTATTGTCCACTAAACCCGGTTGCTTACCCATTGACCATAATTCCTCTACTTCCCTCCACCAACTGCTTTTTGTTTTCTGCTCCAAATCCAACACTACATGTTGACTTCTATCTGGCTTTGTCCCATTACTCAAGTAGTTAGTTTGGGATTTACCCCTCTTCCTCTTTTTG